AGAGAGAGAGAGAGAGAGAGAGAGAGAGAGAGAGAGAGAGAGAGAGAGAGAGCACATATGTGGAAGACATAAGTGTGGGTGGCAGGTTTTTGCAATGCAATACGAACAACACACATAAAAGGAACCCCAATTTTCAAAACGGTTGGGAACTGGGTGTCACATATGACCGGATACAACAACAACGTCTTAATAACCGGCCCCCACATCCCAACCACATCATCACGAATGTATATGGAAGCCAGGTCTGTAAATACAATGCAATATCAACAATGAGGACATAACAAATCCCACATTTCAAAAAGGTTGGGAATTGGGTGTCACTTACGCCGATTTACGACAACAACGTCTTCATATTCGGCCCCAACTTCCCAACCACATCGTCACATGGGTAAGTCATGTGATACGGTGATACTTGAGAGAGAGAGAGAGAGAGAGAGAGAGAGAGAGAGAGAGAGAGAGCCAGCACGTATGTGGAAGACATAAGTATGGGTGGCAGGTTTTTGCAATGCAATACGAACAACACAGAGACAAGGAACCCCAATTTTCAAAACGGTTGGGAACTGGGTGTCACATATGGCCGGATACAACAACAACGTCTATAGTATGGTTGTTACGCATTCAAGAACTGAAACAACGAGGCCAATCGCTATGCGTCCATGTCCTCCAACAATAAGCAATAAAGCTCCTACACGGACATTGTGCTCAAAACGCGCACATTCCCCGACGCGTTTCGCCTGGTTGCGCACCAGGACTTATCAAGGGTCATTGTCTCCCGCATCCACCGTAACACACCACCCAGAGCAAAGAGGGTCCTCCAGGCCTTGCCCTCTAGAGCTATACAGACACATTCTCCACGTCCGCAACTGACTGGGCGGGTGCCGACTTGGCTCGCTTGTAACCGACCTGGCATGCTCATGCGTATGCCTCTTCTTCCCGCCAACCTCACGCGAGCGCCTCCCATCCGCCAGGTGCAAAATTACACGTGCACCGGTCGACGGTGGGGCGTCCGCTGCGAAATTGGCCTCGGGCCGTAATCTTCCGTTGTACCGGGCCTGCCTTCCTAGCTAGGTACCAGCCAGTTTGACACGACCTTCCAGTGAACCGGTTCCGACTCTACTGGCCCCGGTGACCTCTTTCTATTCTCCCACGTTTCCACACCCACCTGTACTCCTGATACCCAGCCTGCCTCTGCACGCTGCTTACCTTTTCCCGCCCTCCCGCCTCACCCTGCTGTAACTAACTTTAGCTATCGCTCCCGCCTGAACTCGATCCTACTGTACATCCCAGTCCTCATCACTGGGAACCGGGGTTGTGGGGCTTTCCCTTTCTCCTAACTAGTTTACACCCCGGTTTACCCCCCGGGTCCTGCTCCTTCCCTATAGGACGACTCTACCTCTATCACCGTTGTCACTCCCCCCTGCTCCTCACCCTTATCTAGTGTACATCCCGGTACTGCGTACCGGGGCCCGCTTCCCATCTCCGCTTCACGCGTTCTCGCTCCTTCCCCTTCCGTGCTCCTCCCTCTCCCCTCCCTATCTTAACCGGCAGCTCGGACAGCGTCTTCAGCGCGGCTGCCACGTGGCAGGGCGCCGATCGCCCTGCCACCCTCCCCCCCCCCCCCCCCCCC